GTCCGGAAAGTTTCAGCGTTTTGGGCACCTATTTTTGTACATTCACTGCTGATTAAAACTCATTCTGCCTTGCTTCTCAGTAGCACATCCTGTAGAGAATTTCTTGCGCTATCTGATGGTATAATTGCCTTTTACCATTGCTTGATAAACCCCCTTTTTTCAAGATTTTTTCAAGCATGTGAAAAGAGCACTTCGGACGATTTTTTTCTTCGACTATAAATTGGGGCAATCCGCAATCGAAACAGCTCAACAAATTAACCAGGTGTGGCCCAATAGTGCTAGAGAAAGCACTGTGCGGCAATGGCTCAACAAATTTCGTTCTGGAGATTTCAGCCTTGAAGATGAAAACCTCATGACCGTCGACCTAAAGCAATATCTGACGAGGATTTTAGGGGGATTTTGGAGGCTGACCCATCCCAAACAGTTTGAGAGATAGCAGAAGAGCTAGGCCTTGGCAAATCCACTGTTGCAGATGGTCTGGAACGCATTGGGAAGGTGAAAAAACTCGACAATTGGGTGCCCCACAATCGGAGTGACCGGCAGGAATCGGGTTCCTTCTGCATTGCTTTTGCGCAGCAGAAACGACCTGTTTTTGGACCGAATTGTCACCTGTGATGAAAAATGGGTCATGTATGATAACAGGAGACGTTCCGGACAGTGGTTGGATTTTGACGGAACCACCGAGGTAATTTTCAAAGCCGAACCCTCACGAAAAAAAAGATTCTGGTCAAGTTTCTGGCGGGAGTCCACAATAACTTGTAACACCAGGCCAAACCTACCAACAGCATAACCCTACCTGAAGAAATCGCTATTGTCCCGAAAAATTTTGTTCAGTCGATGCAGCCAACACTTATCAAAAGAAAGGGTCCGATTCTTTTGCCTGACAACGCCCGCCCGCACGTCTCACAAATCACTATCCATAAATTGAACGAATTGGGGGTTGAAAGTTCACCTCAACCGCCATATTCTCCAGACCTTTCACCAACCGACTATCACCTTTTCAAACATTTTCAGAACTTCCTTGCTGAAAAATACTTCATCAATTAGGACCAGGCAAAAAAGCCTTAGTGGATTTCGTGAATTTTTGACCACCCAGTTTTTTATTTTGATGGGATTCTCGACTGTCTTCACATGCAAAAGTGCTTCGCGAGTTCGAATGGTGCCTATTTCGATTAAATCCGATAAGTATTAAAAAGTTACGATCGTTTAAAGTGAAACACCCAAAACGCTGAGAACTTTCCGGACAACCTAATCAGATAAGATCGACCTCATGTATAAATGCTCACATTACCGGTTAGCCCTCTTCAGGTAATATGCCGAATACTCGGGTTCAAGAAAAGTATGACAAACTTTCCCGCCAACCTAATACCATGACTTGCGCAGCCAACCAAAGTACGAGTCAGTGTTCTTCTTTCCCTAGACACGTCTGGTAGCGAGTCACCGACCTGGGATAGAAGGCCTGGTAGTCCGGGCAAGAGTCTATTCTAGATCTGAGATGGACCGTGTCCGTGGTGAGCAACATCACTCGAAACCACATTGTTTCCTTCACATGGTAGACGCCCTTCTAAAAACAGGAAGTCAGTTAAAGCGCACGGTCCGCATAAGCAGCGTAGGTGTGCGGTTGAGATGTGCGAAGGAAGTTCGAGTACTAGCTTCCGGTGAGTTCTTCCCCTTTCGTCAACTGAAATACCAGAGGAACGGGGAAACAACCATACAACACTATCATCCTCTCAGGCCCTCACAATTTTCACGGGTGACATGTCAGTAAAAACCGCTTGCTGAGGCGACTTCCGTTTGCCAACTCCTTGTAATGAACACCATAACCCCACAAGAGACAATGCAGCATCCATTTCGTGCTACTTGTCGGCAGCCATTTCTTGGCTCGAAGCAGGCTTCTGGAGGCGAGATCTGAAGGCGGACCACTGGAAAAAGGGAGATATCAAGGAGCAATTTTGCAGCCATAAGCTTCTACACCTTACAAACTTTCAGGCCCGTAAGCTGGCCCAGGTTGCGTCAGCTGGGCCAGGCTACTTGGACCGTGAACCTCTTCGGCAACTTTTCTTAGGCCATCGCGACACCGTATCTTGATATTGTGCATCTTTATGTCATCGCCACCCACGCCCCCAGAAACCCTTACACGAAAGTGGACCCTCTGGAGAAGAACAGTGAAACAATGTAAGTAGCCGCTATTGCTGTACTCTGGTTTAGTCTTTTTACAGGCTAAACGAATTCCTCGACGACCGCAGCATTATGAATGTGACACCTACTCAACACTTCTCGAAGCGAGTGGGTTTAGTGTTGCAGTTGACCCCAATGATGGGCCCAGTTATCTGTTGAGCCTACGCAAGTTGTTCTCTAGCAATTTCAGAGTGCGCTACGACGGCGTCCAGCACTCAAAGATTCTATGCCTTCCACCGAAGAAAGAAAAATGCAGCTCCTCCCACTCACTCCAACACGCTCACCGTCACCTGCACCTGTAACCCCTGCCTACGCGAATCTAGGACTACACGATCCAAGGTACTCGCGGGTTTTGAGAAGTTTCAGGGACTCACTCATTAAGAATCTCTGCTAAGCGGTAGCTTTATATGTGCAACTGTTGAAGGTGGTGGAAAAGAAAGAAGAACCTGAGAAAAAAGTTTCTAAACCTCGAACCAGAACGTGAGCATTTTTTGCTGTGTGAAATATTTTTGCGACTCGGATTTAGAGTTCCTACTAACGAGAAGAGTTTAAGGAAAAAGAGTGAGCCTGTACATGGCGCAGTTTGCTGGAATAATGTCTGTGACTGTGTACTGCTTGAGATATTGCGATCACAGCCTCTAGTGACGCTTTTGGAACAGAAAGGTGTAAGTATCTCACCATATGATGACATAAATAGAATTCTGTCCCGCAGCCTCATCAAAGTAGGCTTAAAAACTATTGGGAAAGAGTAACGATGCGGAAACTCCCTAGTCGTGAAAAAGATCCAAGAGTTTTTGGGACCCTTTCGAGCTCTCAAATTTTGCAAGTGAATTTCGATGCCCCATTCTTCGTTTTTATTTACTGTGTTTACTGCATGCGATGTCACAGGGTAGCTCGGAGGGAATAGATACGCTGAGTAGGGCACCTTATGATCCCTAAGATCATCTCTCACCTCTCACAGGTGCGCTTTTCATGGGTCATCAAAGGACAGCGCACAGTGGCTCCGAGAACATGGCACAATGTTGTTAAGCAGATCCTAGGCAAATCTTCAGGGGCGTATCTAGATCGTTAAAAGGAGAATTCACGTCTCCGTTCCCGATAACGGCTTGCATCCATCTGGAATGCATGAGAGTTCGTGGACAGAATGGGAGTTTCAACCATTCGCGCTGAAGTGTCCCCACATCCTTGCCCGCTTGGTGGAGACTGTAGGT